TCAGACAGTTGAGAACAGTACTGTGTTAGCTTGTATATTTTATTATGTCGTATCAGGCGGTTGAGAACAGTACTTTGTTAGCTTGTATATTTTATTATGTCCTATCAGACGGTTGAGAACAGTACTTTGTTAGCTTGTATATTTTATTATGTCCTATCAGACAGTTGAGAACAGTACTTTGTTAGCTTGTATATTTTATTATGTCCTATCAGACAGTTGAGAACAGTACTTTGTTAGCTTGTATATTTTGTTATGTCCTATCAGACAGTTGAGAACAGTACTGTGTTAGCTTGTATATTTTGTTATGTCCTATCAGACAGTTGAGAACAGTACTTTGTTAGCTTGTATATTTTGTTATGTCCTATCAGACAGTTGAGAACAGTACTTTGTTAGCTTGTATATTTTGTTATGTCCTATCAGACAGTTGAGAACAGTACTGTGTTAGCTTGTATATTTTGTTATGTCCTATCAGACAGTTGAGAACAGTACTTTGTTAGCTTGTATATTTTATTATGTCCTATCAGACAGTTGAGAACAGTACTGTGTTAGCTTGTATATTTTGTTATGTCCTATCAGACAGTTGAGAACAGTACTTTGTTAGCTTGTATATTTTGTTATGTCCTATCAGACAGTTGAGAACAGTACTGTGTTAGCTTGTATATTTTATTATGTCCTATCAGACAGTGGAGAACAGTACTGTGTTAGCTTGTATATTTTGTTATGTATATGTCCAGTTCAGAACAGTACTTTGTTAGCTTGTATATTTTGTTATGTCCTATCAGACAGTTGTACTTTGTTAGTTGTATATTTTGTTATGTCCTATCAGACAGTTGAGAACAGTACTGTGTTAGCTTGTATATTTTGTTATGTCCTATCAGACAGTGGAGAACAGTACTGTGTTAGCTTGTATATTTTGTTATGTCCTATCAGACAGTGGAGAACAGTACTGTGTTAGCTTGTATATTTTGTTATGTCCTATCAGACAGTGGAGAACAGTACTGTGTTAGCTTGTATATTTTGTTATGTCCTATCAGACAGTGGAGAACAGTACTGTGTTAGCTTGTATATTTTGTTATGTCCTATCAGACAGTGGAGAACAGTACTGTGTTAGCTTGTATATTTTGTTATGTCCTATCAGACAGTGGAGAACAGTACTGTGTTAGCTTGTATATTTTGTTATGTCCTATCAGACAGTGGAGAACAGTACTGTGTTAGCTTGTATATTTTGTTATGTCCTATCAGACAGTGGAGAACAGTACTTTGTTAGCTTGTATATTTTGTTATGTCCTATCAGAACAGTGTTAGCTTGATGTCCTATCAGACAGTTGAGAACAGTACTGTGTAGCTTGTATATTTGACAGTACTGTGTTAGCTTGTATATTTTATTATGTCCTATCATCAGACAGTAGCTTGAGAACAGTACTGTGTTAGCTTGTATATTTTGTTATGTCCTATCAGACAGTTGAGAACAGTACTTTGTTAGCTTGTATATTTTGAATTATGTCCTATCTAGACCTCTACATCAAGCATGAGTCGACTAGTTTTCCAGCACAACCTGTTGTTGGGGAAAACAAGAATAAAACCCACTGGCTCTACATCAAGCATGAGTCGACTAGTTTCCAGCACAACCTGTTGTTGGGGAAAACAAGAATAAACCCACTGGCTCTACATCAAGCATGAGTCGACTAGTTTCCAGCACAACCTGTTGTTGGGGAAAACAAGAATAAACCCACTGGCTCTACATCAAGCATGAGTTTCCAGACTAGAATAACCTACTTTCCAGCATGACGACTAGTTTCCAGCACCCTGTTGTTGGGGAAAACAAGAATAAACCCACTGGCTCTACATCAAGCATGAGTCGACTAGTTTCCAGCACCCTGTTGTTGGGGAAAACAAGAATAAACCCACTGGCTCTACATCAAGCTGAGTCGACATTTTTTCAAGCATTGGGAAAACAAGTAACCCACGACTAGTTTCGACTAGTTTCCAGCACCCTGTTGTTGGGGGAAAACAAGAATAACCCACTGGCTCTACATCAAGCATGAGTCGACTAGTTTCCAGCACCCTGTTGTTGGGGAAAACAAGAATAAACCCACTGGCTCTACATCAAGCATGAGTCGACTAGTTTCCAGCACCCTGTTGTTGGGGAAAACAAGAATAAACCCACTGGCTCTACATCAAGCATGAGTCGACTAGTTTCCAGCACAACCTGTTGTTGGGGAAAACAAGAATAAACCCACTGGCTCTACATCAAGCATGAGTCGACTAGTTTCCAGCACAACCTGTTGTTGGGGAAAACAAGAATAAACCCACTGGCTCTACATCAAGCATGAGTCGACTAGTTTCCAGCACAACCTGTTGTTGGGGAAAACAAGAATAAACCCACTGGCTCTACATCAAGCATGAGTCGACTAGTTTCCAGCACAACCTGTTGTTGGGGAAAACAAGAATAAACCCACTGGCTCTACATCAAGCATGAGTCGACTAGTTTCCAGCACAACCTGTTGTTGGGGAAAACAAGAATAAACCCACTGGCTCTACATCAAGCATGAGTCGACTAGTTTCCAGCACAACCTGTTGTTGGGGAAAACAAGAATAAACCCACTGGCTCTACATCAAGCATGAGTCGACTAGTTTCCAGCACTCTGTTGTTGGGGAAAACAAGAATAAACCCACTGGCTCTACATCAAGCATGAGTCGACTAGTTTCCAGCACCCTGTTGTTGGGGAAAACAAGAATAAACCCACTGGCTCTACATCAAGCATGAGTCGACTAGTTTCCAGCACCCTGTTGTTGGGGAAAACAAGAATAAACCCACTGGCTCTACATCAAGCATGAGTCGACTAGTTTCCAGCACCCTGTTGTTGGGGAAAACAAGAATAAACCTACTGGCTCTACATCAAGCATGAGTCGACTAGTTTCCAGCACCCTGTTGTTGGGGAAAACAAGAATAAACCCACTGGCTCTACATCAAGCATGAGTCGACTAGTTTCCAGCACCCTGTTGTTGGGGAAAACAAGAATAAACCCACTGGCTCTACATCAAGCATGAGTCGACTAGTTTCCAGCACCCTGTTGTTGGGGAAAACAAGAATAAACCCACTGGCTCTACATCAAGCATGAGTCGACTAGTTTTCAGCACCCTGTTGTTGGGGAAAACAAGAATAAACCCACTGGCTCTACATCAAGCATGAGTCGACTAGTTTCCAGCACCCTGTTGTTGGGGAAAACAAGAATAAACCTACTGGCTCTACATCAAGCATGAGTCGACTAGTTTCCAGCACCCTGTTGTTGGGGAAAACAAGAATAAACCCACTGGCTCTACATCAAGCATGAGTCGACTAATTAGGGCATCCTTTTAAGTACATCTGCCTGAGATGCCAGAAACCAAGAGTCTGCATATAAATATACCAGATCTGTAAAACAGATGTGCATGCATAACTCACGTTCTGGAACAAGACTACAGTCGGGAGGTGGGCGAACAACCAGAACTTTTTCTTCCTACATTATTTGTAGCTATAAACTTAAATAATTACTGCAAATGAAATTAATGACAGTATATATTATCATTTTATAGTGAAATTGTCGGCTCTGTGGCCAAGTCGATGCGAATGCTTCGTATTGCCGGGATGCCGGGTTCAATCCCAGCTGCGGGCCATGCACCTTGCGTTGGTTTCGACAGTGGTATCAAGAAAGCCAATCGCCCAGAAAGCAATGGCAAACCCATCATCATCATGTAGCAGGTCCTTTGCAGAACGTCGCTCTCATCACAGTCTGCCTGTAAGAAACTCGGTCTCTTGCCAGTTCTCCCGCCTCATGAACTTTCCCACTCAAGGAGTAACTTATATCCTGTGCCCATCTTCGGGTCGGTTGGCCTCTGCCCCTCTTTCCTGGTACCATGCCTTCTGCTATAATTTTTTCCAATCCGTCGTGGCGCTTGATATGACCAAAATATTTCAGCTTTTGAGAAAGGATGCTGTTTATTAGCCAATCTTCTTTGATGTTCAGATCTTTTAAGATGTCAATATTTCTCATCTTCTTTGTCCAAGATATTCTGAGAATCTTTCTAAAACATTTCAGCTATAATCAATAAAACAAGCATGAAGATCTACATTGTATTCTCTGCATTTTTCAAAAATTATTCTCATATTAAATATGTGATCCCTAGTTCCTCTACCCTGTCTGAAACCCGCTTGTGCTTCATCTAGTTCATATTGTAATTTCCTTTCAATCCTTTTCATGATAATACGTAAGAGGATTTTGCTAGCATGACTTATTAATGCGATGGTACGGTAGTTGAAGCATAGTTTTGGATTTCCTTTCTTTGAGAGAGGGATATAGACTGTTCTTTTCCAAGCTTTAGGTCAAATGCTACTGTTCCAGATCTTCGAGCACAGTGCATGGTAGATTCGGACGCTGGCCTCTCCTCCTGCTTGAATTAGTTCTGTTGGTATTTCGTCGCAACCTGGTGACTTTCCTTTCTTCAAGCTGCGTATTGCTGATCGTACCTCATCTAGTAAAGGCTGTGGTTCTTTTTCAGTGGCAAACTACTGGACGTAAATTTGCCTAGAAAAACCACACAACAGCCAGGGGCTGCTGGGGTTGGTTCTGCAACGTCCTGAAAAAGATTCGCAACTAACCTTATAGTGAAATCGGGAGCCGCTGTGGTCTAGCGGCTAGAGGCTCGCCTGCAGATCGGAAGGTTGTGGTTTCGGTTCCTGTCAGGGGCCTGACTTTTTAAAAAAAAAACCTTGGCTTCCAGGTCGACCCAGCCTTGAGTGGGTACCAGGTATTGTCCTGGGAAGTAAAAGTGGCCGGCATGATGCTGACCACATCACCCACCAACTGCCTTTTAGTCTATGAAGTCTAGCCCTGTCTACCCAATAAGCCTGGAGGCCTTGAACAGGCTGCTTATGTTGTATGTTGTGAAAGTGTGTCAGCTCTCAGGTCAAGCACGTCTCAGGGATCAGTTCAGTCATAGATATGCAATGTTCTTTGCAGATAATTATGGAGACTCAACAAGCAAAACAGACATTAGCAGATATTGAAGCAAGACATAATGACATCATGAAATTAGAAACATCTATACGTGACCTCCATGATATGTTTATGGATATGGCTATGCTTGTGGAAAGTCAGGTAAAAAAATTTTCATATAACATATGATATGCTGTATGTTATTCTTGTTCTGAAAGAGTGAGTCGGGAAGTATTTTCTGTTATTTCAGCGGTGTGTTCACCTGAATGAAGACGATGACTTATGTCTGTGTGAGTTTGGGGAAAAGGTTTTACTACTACTGGTTGAGATGACTTATGTCTGTGTGGAGTTTGGGGAAAAGGTTTAACTACTGCTGGTTGAGATGACTTATGGCTGTGTGTTTGGGGAAAATGTTTAACTACTGCTGGTTGAGATGACTTATGGCTGTGTGGAGTTCGGGGAAAAGGTTTAACTACTGCTGGTTGAGATGACTTCTGGCTGTGTGGAGTTCGGGGAAAAGGTTTAACTACTACTGGTTGAGATGACTTATGTCTGTGTGGAGTTCGGGGAAAAGGTTTAACTACTGCTGGTTGAGATAACTAGTATGCATGTATGCTACTAGTTTATGTTGTGTGATTAGTCATATCGTGTGATTGACACAAGCGAAGCATGTATGCTACTAGTTTATGTTGTGTGATTGACACAAGGAAAGCATGTATGCTACTAGTTTATGTTGTGTGATTAGCCATGTCGTGTGATTGACACAAGGGAAGCATGTATGCTACTAGTTTATGTCGTGTGATTGACACAAGGGAAGCATGTATGCTACTAGTTTATGTTGTGTGATTGACACAAGAGAAGCATGTATGCTACTAGTTTATGTTGTGTGATTGACACAAGGGAAACATGTATGCTACTAGTTTATGTTGTGTGATTAGTCATGTTGTGTGATTAGCTATGTCCTGTGGTTGACACACAAGGGAAGCATGTATGCTACTAGTTTACGTTGTGTGATTAGCCATGTCGTGTGATTGACACATGGAAGCATGTATGCTACTAGTTTATGTTGTGTGATTGACACAAGGGAAGCATGTATGCTACTAGCTTATGTTGTGTGATTGACACAAGGGAAGCATGTATGCTACTAGTTTATGTTGTGTGATTGACACAAGGGAAGCATGTATGCTACTAGTTTATGTCGTGTGATTAGCCATGTCATGTGATTGACACAAGGGAAGCATGTATGCTACTAGTTTATGTCGTGTGATTAGCCATGTCATGTGATTGACACAAGGGAAGCATCTATGCTACTAGTTTATGTCGTGTGATTGACACAAGGGAAGCATGTATGCTACTAGTTTATGTTGTGTGATTGACACAAGGGAAGCATGTATGCTACTAGTTTATGTCGTGTGATTAGCCATGTCATGTGATTGACACACAAGGGAAGCATCTATGCTACTAGTTTATGTTGTGTGATTAGCCATGTCATGTGATTGACACACAAGGGAAGCATGTATGCTACTAGTTTATGTCGTGTGATTAGCCATGTCATGTGATTGACACAAGGGAAGCATGAATGCTACTAGTTTATGGTGTGTGATTGACACAGGGAAGCATCTATGCTACTAGTTTATGTTGTGTCAGTGAAAAAGAGTTCTTTAAAAAAATATACCTAATTGCAATTCTCTTATTATTTATACTGGCTGTTCGCTGTTGATTAAGCTTCGTGCAGAGAAACATCTTTTTCTTTCTTTTTTTCTTTATCCCTTAATGTAGCAATTCTTGTGCATCATAGAATTCATATTTTTTTAAGAGAATATTGACCTCAGTTCTGTTGCTGTTTTAGGGTGAAATGATTGACAGGATTGAGTACAATGTGGAACAAGCTGTGGATTATATTGAAACAGCAAAGATGGATACTAAAAAGGCTGTTAAATACCAGAGTAAAGCCAGACGAGTAAGTCATTATCTTTTGTTGTATGATTTCTCTGTTGGATGTTGTCAATGTATGGCTTTGACATTACACATGCATACCATCATCAGATCATCTTTAATACATTTCTGGTAATAAAGTTCAGACTAAATTTTAGCAAATCCAACAGACCCCGGATCAGGGATCAGTTTTTAAAATTCTGCTCAACTTGGGACTTGTAGCTCCCTGGCTGGCAGACAAGTGTACCAGCCTTTGTGCCAGCATGGTTCCTATGATAGCTTAAGTCGAGAATAAGAAACCAGATAATAGTTCAGTGTGATGCTGCATGTTTGATCAAAGGTATGAAATCTTCCATCTTCCAATGCAGCGACAGTAATGTTGCTAAATATGATGTTATGATGGTAGCTCATTGTGTTAATGGTAGCTCATTGTGTTAGTGTAGAACATCCGTTTGTTTAAGTTCAGTCAGTACCTCACTGTTGTTTCATCTTGACAGTTTCAGAAGGAAATATAATTATATTTTCAGTTAGAAATGAGGTTGTAGAACACATGGGAAAAATTGGGCTTTTAAAAACAATACAAATGTTCTGTGTGCCACTTTTTTATAAATACAGTAAAATTAGAAATGCTACTTTGTACACAACATATGCAACATACAGACAAATCACTGACTGTGAATACTTTCTTGAAATATTACACAATTAATCACAACTTTTACTGTAAGTCACTTTCTCATTCCTTCTGTTCTCACAGCTCTTTTCTCCATTCCGACTATTTTATCAGTAATACAATATTTGGCACTATTTCCTCTACTGGCTGTACAACATATAGCACAATCTTTTACAAGGGAAGCACATCAGTTTGGAATGAATGAGTGACAGTGTTGAAACTGGTGGCATCATCATTATGTGTAGCTGGGGAAACAGTTCACAAGATGTATACAGCATTAACGCAAATGCATAATTATTATAACAAAACTAGAGCAGATGAAGAGGAGCATAATTTCAGACAAAAAGTCAGGCAAAGTAATAACTTCAGGAAAATCATAAAGCAGTATAATGATAGCTATGCAGTGCTAGTTCCATTTTGTTAATGGACCAATTGGCGCTCATTGAGTGATGTAGTCAATATCACGCAGGTCAATTTTAACTTCTTTGAATGAGTTTTGATAAGGATTTGAACCGATGACCTACGGGCTTATAAGCAAGCATACCAGCCACTGTGCTATAGTGGCTCCTGTTTGATAATTGTGGTAAAGATTACAAGACTGTATTTTTTAACAAACATGAACACACAGTAGAGTCTAGAGTCTTCCTTCTAGCAAAACAGCAAATGATTAATAGCATCTTCATCCCTACTTTGTGCTCTCAGTGCCAAATATGGACAATAAATGTAACACTAGAACAGAAATAACTGCCTGTGAAATGTGCTGTATCCATAAGGTCACTAACAACACAAGAAAGGACAGCGTTACCAATAGCAGCATTAGTGAGACAGTTGTAACAAGACCATGTCTGGGTTATTGTAGACAAACAATCAAATGGTTACTCAATCTAGTGAGACTGCAGCCAGACCAAACTATTTTACAGCAGAACATCTGGGAGAACATCTGGGAGAAAGGCCAGGGGAAGACAGATCTGACCCAGATCCTGCCCAGTTGTGGGGCATGTTTGCAATAATCAGGAGTCATGAGCAGAGCCAGGTGTGCCACTGTAGACATTTGCTGACAGACATACATACAAATATTGTTTGTACTGACTGACTACATGACAGATTTATTAAAATACCAACATTTTATGCCATTTATGAAAGCACTTGAAATAGACAAATATTGGACTCTTAAGTGATATATTTCTCGTTTCCTGTCACTATATAGTTGTTTTCAGTTATAAACATTTAATTTCTCTTTGTTGCATGTCATGTTTGATGTTTTAAGTTGTTAAATGTTTTTATTTTTCATCCATTTCTTTTCAGAAAAAGATTTTAATAATTGTGTGCATTTTGGTTGTTCTCGTGATTATTGCCATCATCATAGCTATCGCTGTCACAGCTTAGCGAGTCTGATCCAGCATGGCCTTGAAGGTTGTCAGATGTCACTGGCTGAGTGCAGCACTGGCAGCAAGTGGCCACCTGTCTTCATGTGCCATCAGCGCACAGTTGTGACTGAGACAACAAGATGAAGCTCACTGCTTCAAGCACCTAGATTTATTTGACTAATCACAACATGTCAGCAGATCATTTCAAGTTCTCTTTTATTTTTTATGAAGAAAGTTGTTTGTTGTTGAATAAAACACTCCTGCTAATTTATACTATCTCTAGTTTAAAATGTGCTTGAAATTCCAAAGCACAAAAATCAGTTTAGCATTCTGTCAGCCTTTATTACTACTGTGATCTTTATGGTATTAAGTATACACCTGTCACACATCTGGAAAGGGGGGGGGGGGGGGGGGGGGGGAACACGGCTGTCAGTTTCTTCTTCACATTTTACAGCCGTCACATTTTTTGTCCACATTTTTTGAATGAAATGAAATCCTTTCAGTTTCTATACAACAAGGTTCAAAAAGTCCAACCTGTAGCCAAAGAGAAGAAATGTGCTCACTTAGACTTGGTTTGTGTGTTCACGTTATCTCAAGTATTTATTTGATTTCTTCACTTTTGTAGCTGACTTGGGCATTTATTAAACATTTGTACAGTTCGATTAGCCTCATAAAACATGAATTTTGGGACCTTTATTGTTTGTACCCACTTTAACATTTTACACACACACACACAAGAAATGATTGTTGAGCTTGATGACTTGCACAATTGTCTGTCAGTTACTGTTGTTTCAATATTCAGAATTTTGTGAAATATATTGTTTGCAGTCGTGAATGAAAGGGCAGCTTAAGTAATCAAGTTGATCTTTTGTTGTTGTTGTTGTTGTCTGTACATTGTTAGTACGATTAGTGCCATATTGTAGCCAATGAAGAAGCAATTAACTTTCATTGTTGTACATGCCTCTGTTGTTTTGTTTATATGAAACTACTTATTTATTTTAGTGTCACAGTTTAAATGAAATGAAAGTTAACATAGGTGAATATGCCTACTTAATCTACACATTAAGGTGTGGAAATTGGGGGTACGACAGGGATATTCAAGCTGCACAATGAAGAATCGGCAAGTTGCAGTAATCAGCTCACGTGATGATAAAGAGCACCAACAGAGCTTGGTGGAATTACTTTGAAAGGATGGGTGGCTTTTTGTGTGAAAATGTGATGCTCAAAGTACATATTTTTACCTGTATTTATTTGTTACATATTACTCAACTGTTTTCATATTGTGAATTTTGCATGACGTTTCTGACATTGAGCAGATCTCTTTCTTCTAAGTGACTGAATGTACTAAATAAACAGACCCGTCGTTGTGAGGTCTTGTTTGTGGCTGGTGTCTTGTTGTGAGGTCTTGTTTGTTGCTGGTGTCTCGTTGTGAGGTCTTGTTTGTGGCTGGTGTCTCGTTGTGAGGTCTTGTTTGTTGCTGGTGTCTCGTTGTGAGGTCTTGTTTGTTGCTGGTGTCTCGTTGTGAGGTCTTGTTTGTTGCTGGTGTCTCGTTGTGAGGTCTTGTTTGTTGCTGGTGTCTCGTTGTGAGGTCTTGTTTGTTGCTGGTGTCTCGTTGTGAGGTCTTGTTTGTTGCTGGTGTCTCGTTGTGAGGTCTTGTTTGTTGCTGGTGTCTGTGTGGAGTTTCTGGCTTCCCACGGGTAAGGATTCTTAGTTCCTTGTGATTATTTTAAAGATAATGGGGGAAACCAGGCAATCATTAACTCAGTCCTCCTTGGTTGGCCCCACTTGAAGGTATATAGAGTGTAATCAAATCTGAGAGTAGTATAGATAAAAGGGGTGGAACGTGAAGAGACAAACTAGAAGTGCAAGAGAAGCTTCAGTAACACTAGACAAACTAGAAATACTTGAGAAGCTTCAGTAACACTAGACAAACTAGAAATAGTAAAGGAGCTTCAGTAACACTAGAAATACTAGAGGAGCTTCAGTAACACTAGACAAACTAGAAATACTAGAGGAGCTTCAGTAACACTAGACAAACTAGAAATACTAGAGGAGCTTCAGTAACACTAGACAAACTAGAAATACTAGAGGAGCTTCAGTAACACTAGTCAAACTAGAAATACTAGAGGAGCTTCAGTAACACTAGACAAACTAGAAATACTAGAGGAGCTTCAGTAACACTAGACAAACTAGAAATACTAGAGGAGCTTCAGTAACACAAGACAAACTAGAAATACTAGAGGAGCTTCAGTAACACTAGACAAACTAGAAATACTAGAGGAGCTTCAGTAACACTAGACAAACTAGAAATACTAGAGGAGCTTCAGTAACACTAGACAAACTAGAAATACTAGAGGAGCTTCAGTAACACTAGACAAACTAGAAATACTAGAGGAGCTTCAGTAACACTAGACAAAGTAGAAGTGCACAGAAACTAAAACTAGTGCTAAATTAAGAAGGTTTCACTTTATTGTCACATCAGGATTGTGGAGAAGGAATCAACCAGTTAACAAACCATAGCCATACATTGACTTGTGCAAGAAACAATGAGAATATGTTTCAAACCAATTGTTAACAAACCATAGCCATTCATTCTCTTGTGCAGGACACAATGAGAATACGTTTCCAACCAGTTGTTAACAAACTATAGCCATTGATTCACTGGTGCAGGCTACACTGAGAATATGTTTCACGTAATGACTAATGTGAAGCTTTGGGAGATAACTAAATTCCAGTTAATCACAAAGTGAGCTTCTGACAATGTCATAGGATAAGACATCTTGCTCATCTTTTTCTTCTTCTTCTTTCATTCGCTTGAAATAGATGATCTATATCTGCAATGTTGTCTATAGGAATCACTGTATATCTTGAAACCCACAGGCCAAGAAATTAAAAAAGACCCCCCCCCCCTTTTTTTCCCATACCCCCCCCCCCCCCCTCCCCAGTGCAGTTTTTTAATTTCACAAGTGTAACACATTAAAACAGACAATTCTAATTCAATTGCCGTGCAACATACACATACATCAAAGTGACCTGGGATTGTGGAGGAATAATTATAGAATATAGCTACAACAAATAATTGCATTAGTAATTAAATATTAGTAAATAAACAGATGGTATGTTTACAAAAATTTGTAAAATTAAGTAAAAAGATGTTCACTTACCACCATGGCACTCAAGCAAAACTGATTAAAATATATCAAAAATTAATCACAAATGAATATGAACCCACTTAGTAATGTATAAGTAAAATATAAACCCAATCTATACGTTAGATTTTGTTCCAAGGAATCTTTTGAAGCATCATAACAGAGCACCATTATTTGGTAAAGAAAAGTGACTTCTTAAAACAATAAGTATCTTCACACAAAACGAAGTTTATTAAACACTCAATTTGCCTGTAATTTTGTAGCTATGTTCCTAAATAATAAGGGGGATAGCACTAGAACTAACTTAATTAGCGCGTGATGCATTCCCTGGGACTCAAAGAGTTAACTCTGTAGTTAGGCATCTGGTGGGATACAGCCAACTATGCCAGGCAATCAATTGTTTTACATCCACAATATTTCAATGTACAGCCGGTAAACATTGTTTTGAATAGAGAAGATAATGAAAATCTGAAGGGAACAACATAGGGTCTGATGCACCGGATAGCACAGGATAGGTGGGAGTTTATTGAGGTCTTTTTCTCAGCTGTGGGAATAAGGGCAAAATAGAAGAAGTCAGATGTGTTTTGGTGTGTCAAACCATGTAAGACTTCTTCAGCATTCCAAGCTCTTGAGGTTCACTGCTGCAGATATCACCTGCCTCCATTCATCTCTCTGGTTGGCCTTCTCTTTCAAGTTGGTGACATCAAGTGTTTGCAGGTCTTTCTGAACATTATCTCTCCATCTTCTTCTTGGTCTGCCTCATGGTCTACGACCATTCATCTCCCTTGTGTATACAGTTGTTACTTTCCTGTTGACATGTCAGACAGTTGTCCAGAAATGTAGACCATCCTCTCCTCTTGTGGATGTAGCATCAGATGTGAAATGCTGTCTTCTCCATTGTAGGCTAACATTGAACATTTTCTGACTAGAGTCAAGAGATGCAAGCTGTGGCTTTGTGCTTTCAGTGGAGTCAAGGTCCTATCACATATCTCCTATTAACTACATTTTTGATGTCACACCAGACATCCTCTTGCTGTGTTGTGTACTGTCATCGTAGAATAACCAACCAGTGACAGATTTGTTTACTTTGACTGTCTCATTTTCCTCTTCTTCTGTGTTGATCCGAAGATGTAATTATATTGTGCCAGTTTACAAGATGACTGTGAAATGTTCAGCCTGCGGCCGACAATCCAACTTCTACAGGAACTTCTTTTGTTGCCTAGGTTAGCCTTCCCAGTGTCTGAAATGTGACCATAGGGACGATTCATGATCAGAAAACCAGTGATTGTTTCCCACAAATTCTACATTGTGCTACCATGTGTTTCCTGTGTCTGACATGTGACCATAGGCACGATTCATGATCAGAAAACCAGTGATTGTTTCCCACAAATTCTACATTGTGCTACCATGTGTTTCCTGTGCAAATAACCTGTTTATGTGTCAGCTGCAATGAACAATGTGCTATGTTTGAATCAATGTGCTGTATAGATCCAGTAACTTTATTATTGTACATAGAATACTGAGTACAGTATTAATAAGGCCAGAAAGCTGCTTTGGGTAGCACTCCTGCTCACAATGAACGTAGATTTGAATTTGCATTCAGTCAGATTTAGAAACATGAGCTCCATGATTGACCTACTTTAGTTGCATCATATGTGTTGGGCAGTACAGTTGATGTTTGTCATACTGACAACATCACTGGGGAAGTTTGTCATACTGACAACATCACTGGGGAAGTTTGTCATACTGACAACATCACTGGGGAAGTTTGTCATACTGACAACATCACTGGGGAAGTTTGTCATACCGACAACATCACTGGGGAAGTTTGTCATACTGACAACATCACTGGGGAAGTTTGTCATACCGA